GGGCAATCTACTTCTGTAGTGATACTGCCTCGGAAACCCAAGGAGGGGTCGCTATGAGTCGGGTCCAACTCAACGGCACATAACAACAACAATAACAACAATCCCAGTTCCTAACAGGTACTCAAGTTAGTTGAACTGAGCATGCAGTCTATTTTTCTCCTAGAGATAATGGTATTGAAGGCACATAGGTTCTACTGTATCATAAACTAGGGGGGAAAAAAAAATCTCTAGTGACATTTATTAGTCTTCTATGTAAACTAGAAAAATCAAGGAATTTATGCAGTGCAACATACGGATAAAGCATGAACGATGATCTGTTCAGGAGAAGCAGGAGCAGTGGCAGTCAGGGTCACTGTGGGACTAGCGGTCAGAGTTAAAGGAAGACCTTGGCTCGAGCCTGTCTGGAGTAGGTATGTACCTGGAGTGCCAGTAGGCTGTAAATGGAAAGACTACAAAGGAAAAAGAAAAATAAGGTAGTTTAGCACTACTGATTAAATTAATACCCCCAAAACAAACCTCACGTCAGTGAGTGGATTTGGCCTCATGATGATCTCATATTCCTGAGTAGAACTTCATAGGGTTTTCTGGGCTATAATCTTTATGGAAGCTGATCACCAGGCTTTTCATCTTCAGTATCACTGGGTGGGTTTAAGGTGCCAACTGTTAGGTTAGTAGTCAAGCACAAATGGTTTGTATCAGCCAGGGATCTTCCAAAAACAGACTGAAGATATTATACAAGTAGGTAATAAAACAAATGGTAGCAGTATTCTTTATTGTTTACTTGTTATAAGTTAATTCTCAGCCTGGTGGTTTAACAAAGACTTACCCATTTTTCACTCCCAAGCACTACTATGGTCTCATTTCAGCCTATCTGTTTTAGGGTACTATGGTCGTCTCAATGACTCACTGCTGCCAGTGCAGCACTCAGCACACCTGTCTTCCCTCTACCCTTTCTCAGTAGTAATCTTCCAGTAAAACAAAACTTCACATTTCTGAAGGGGCACAACTAGCAGTGTTTACTTACTTCAGCAGATTTTCCTAGTGTAATTTTTTTAAAAATTTTAATATTAAGGGAAAACACACAGCAATAACAACATTCAGCTGAAGGAAAAAGGATTCTTATTTGAAAAGTTGGTTAACTGACAGTGAACTAGTGACATTCATATACAAACTGTTGTGTGGACATATGTTTCCATTTCTCTTGTGTATACACCTGAGATTGCATTCTTAAGACTGGAATTGCTGGGTCATATGGTAACTCTCTTTTTAACTTTTTGAGAATTTTTTTCCCCAAAGTGGCAGTATCATTTAGGATTGAGACTTTTACATTTTGGATTCTTAATGGCTAGGATTATATTTTACTCAATGAATGCTGTTTAATAACTCATAAATTTTGTCCCCTTTTTCTCGAGTTAACCAAGGTGAAATGTTTAAAAACAAAAACAAAAAAACCCCTAAAATTTGTGATTCAACAAATTCACAGTATATATATCCTACACATCAACACTATCATTTTTGTGTATAAAAAAAGAGCAAATTACTGGTTCATATACAGGGAAGGAGAAACATTAATTTACGGAGGTTGAAGTCTGATTTATGCCTAGTCTTCTAACCATGTGGCTTTGAAC